CGAGTTTTACCTTTCCTAAGTGTTATCAGTTCTTCTTGCGTTCTTGTTTTCTATATTCAGACATATATATATGGTTGTTGTACTGTACATGATCTATATTTCAGAAACGATAAAACTAAACTAAACTTATATATATTGAATATGTCTATGGCGAAAACTAAATAAAAGAGACACCAATTAAAGATGAAAGAATGATGAAAGGAAAATAGTGAATCACATATGTATAGTGGACACACCTACATGTGACATCACACTGTAATATTCTCCCCTATTGAGGAAATGTGTCGTATCAACATTTTTAGAAAAAAATAGACATCGAGATACAGGAATGAGTTACATCAAAGAATAGAGAAATAACACATTACAACACGAAAAAACCTTTGAAAAGAAGCAGTTCACGTATGAGAAAAGTAAAAGGTAAATAGAAATATGAGAAAGAACAACATGTTCAACGATGTAAACAAGTAACAAAGACATCTCGCATATTTAACGGTAATGTTGATCGTTATATTTCGTTGAGTCGGGTTCGATGTTATTTAAACTTCATCGACCAGCTCGTATTCATAATTAAGTAAATGTAGATAACATAATGATAATAAACTTAGAATTTTTTTCAATGATAAGCAAAATCATGTTCGATTCATTCAGTCTATAACCTATCAATAAAGATGGGTTACGAAATATTTGTTTCTTTTTCGATTCTCAGTCTTTAGCTAAAAATCTATCAAGAATAAATGACAATTACACGTATTCAGAAATGTACTTCATATAGTAGAATAATCAGACAATGAGAGACTTGTGCTGCATTGAATATAATAGCATTTCAAAGTCATTGAGTGAGGGAAACTCTCATTCACCGATCATGCAATTCTAAATTATATACCATTAGATTGCCCTAATCATAAATAATTATTCTATGTGATTTGACCTATTCATCAATAAGATAAATCTCTCTAACGGAAAGATCCTGTTAGTAATAAAGTCGCTCAGAAATTAGAAGTAACATTATAAAAAAAACCAGTCTTTTCATAAATATTCATGTCAAAGCATTCATGTAATATGATTATTCGACGAAATGACGGCAGATTAAATCATCGATCATTCTCAAATAAAATCGAACAGTAACTTGTTCATGCTGGGATACAATCTTATAGTCAAAGTGATAGTTTAGACTTTGTTTTGAAAAATATAAAGGTTTTTTGATAGGAGTCAATTATCGAGATTAGAAGTATTTTATTACTTGGAAATGTATCAATCGATTTAAAAAAAAAAGAAAATATCTGAATATATATATAAAGATAGAGAGGGTATGTCAATAACGAAAAACAAAATCAAATTAATTTCTATATAAAAACATATATTTGCCGAAGCTTTAACAGATGCATTCGTTTTTATAAATAATACTGTTAATAATGGAGCTTAGACTTTCCTATAAATACTAAGCGTATTTAATTTTCTATATTGCATGCCATTAAAAACAACGATCATCGACACAATGAAGTTGTCTAGAACTACAGGTAATTGTTTAATATTATATGAATATAATAGATAATTCTCATTTTGAAAATAATTTCTTTCATACAATAATGAATTAGTCTTGACAAATGTTCTTTTGTTGCTATTAATTGACTACGGTAAGACAAGGATAGGAATACACCTGCTAGATAGTTTCTGTGTTTGTTTTTGTTCATTAGTATCGGCACAATTGTATCAAAAATCGATCAATTGGGACACTCGGGGTCATCAACAACCATATACGGATGCTATGGCTAGATCGGATTTTGGTTCAGTCACTGGTTGGAATAATAATCGTGCCATGACATCAAGTGGAACATTACGTATAACGGTCGAGAAAAATGCTTTGTCTGGAGCAGGAGGACTCATATCAAATACAAGAATTCCAGATGGTTCTGCTTATGAATTAGATTTCGATGTTAGATTTCACAGCCAATTTGATTGGAGTCGTGGTGGAAAGGTTGGTTTCGGCTTTGGTATTGGAAATGGAAACACAGGATGCAATTTACCAACTGATGGAGGAGGTGGTACTCTCCGTTTAATGTGGTATCAAAATCCAAGTACAAAACGAGTCTATCTTCATCCATATGTTTATCATGCAGGAATGCCAGGACCATGTGGAAGCAATTTCGGCAAATCGTATCCATTATCAGGTATGAGTGCTTAATGGAGTAAAACCATTTGACTAAAGAAGCTACTAAATATGAACTGGTATTTCTCAAATGTGTTTCTTATCGATTTAATAGAATATTAACTAATATTATAGAATATTGTTGTTGGTTTTAGCATTCTCTAAAACTCATATTTTTTTTGTCAATTCAGGTAGTATCGAAAAAGGCAAGTGGTACAAAGTTCATATGTATGTCAAATCGAATACTGGTAATAATGCTAATGGACAGGTACAAGTCCTAATCAATGGTGAAACAGTAATTGATCAAAGTATTCGTTGGACAACAAATGATAGTAAACGGCTTATCAACAATTTATCTTTTCATACGTAAGTTTAACTATATATCTACTTTCGTTTCAAATAACTTACTTTTTTCTCTCATAGATTTCGCGGTGGAAAAGGAGATGAATGGAAGTCTGGTACTGATGGTTATATTTACTATGACAATTTGTACGTTCGACAAATTAGTAAATAAACAAGGAATTGATCAATAGCATCCAAAAATATTGAATTAATAAACTGAACTTTTCCTTTTCTTCCAAATTATATTTTCTCAAAAAAACACGTTGTATTTCAACTGTTTATGTCATTCAACCAAAATATTAAATAAACATATCAAATATACTTCACAATAAACTCTTCTTCTGTCGAAACAAATTTCAAAATGTACCTCTTCCTCCAATTTTGTCTAAGTCTATTTTCATTTGTGTTAAGACTAAAGGTTCACTTGAATTAGGCTGAAATCTATCGAGAATTTACAGAACTTCAAATAAATCAAAGAATTAAAAATGCATGTAACTCCATATATTTTAGTAAATGTATCAAATTGCGGGTCAATAGAAGACATGATTTTCTTGCATTGTCAACATAAAAAAACCTTTGAAGTACATCTGTTTCGAATCATATCGACGTCATTTTGAACTAGTTTTTATTCAAGAACATGTACTTATTGCAATCGCTTCTTTTTCTGCAAATGTTCAATTTGCATTCATATTTGAAATAAATTCCGTTAGTGGTAATAGTGCCATCTCTGAATTCTTCAACTTCTTCTGCAGCTCAAGATTGAAAGCATGGTGGAAGTTAAACATATCTCTTCTACATCTTTCTATTTCATCAACTATGAAAATAGCTGGTGAGCTATATTTTATAAAACTATATGACATCAGAGAACTACTGTACGATGTTTGCGACATTATGATGTATGGATATGAGTGGGTGTAGCCTCTCAACAGAGATACTTGTTAAAATAATATACAGTTACTAAATAATTTAGGTAGCTGATTGCTTTGTAACAACTTTTGATGTAACTAGTTATTTAAAATATAGCGTTCATTTAAACATTTTTATAGGTATTTAAAAAATCTGATAGTTAATTTAAAAGAAAAATAATTTTGCTATTCAATGATTTGAATATCTGATCCCTTTGTAACAAAATTCGGTTTATTGGTCTTCATCATGTTATGAATTGCTTATTTACGATTTATTTAAATCTTATCAGAGCCATTACTATGAACATTTGATGAAATAAACAGTTGGTTTACTTGCTTCTGAACCTTTTTTTTTTTTATTAAACACATCAGTACTTTTCCACTGGCCTAATTATCAAACAAATATCACTCTGTATTTGCATAGATAATCCTAGTAACGGAGTCAGGGTATCGATAAAGGAACTATGATGGTTAAAAAAAAAGTTTTTGATATCTATTTGAAGAATTGATTTATTTTTCATTCAATTGTCTTCAGAATAATTCATGAAGAATGTTGAAGGGAAGAAACGATCATTTGTAACATTGTTTCTTAAATTCGTCACTACCTAATTTTTCACATATAATAAGATGATTATCTTAAACAAGATTTTGCTTTATTCAATATATTAAAGAAACATGATCATCATAATAGTATGCTGTCAGTTCCTAGATGACTCACATTTTGTCAACAGATTCTTCTGTTTCAGTTATGCACTCGATTTACGGTTTCAAACCAATGGGCACTATACAATAGTTTAGACGCAAAAAAAATTCTAAACTTGATTAGAAGTCGAATGAGTCACTTCCCTTTAGGAACAAGTTTCTGTACGTATGTATTCTAGAGTGAAAACGTTTTGCTTGCGATCATCCCTATAATCTTCATCGAAGTGGTTCTTGGCAGAATGATAAGAATATGTCGATATCTCTAATGAACGTATGATAAGTATGTTTCTTTTTCAGTTCTTGATTATATTATGCAAAAGCATTCTGAATTTATTTATTATTTCAAAATTTCATACAGATGTCGCTGATGATAAGTGTATCTGTTCAGAATTGAAAGAAAGAAACATTTTTTAGACTCTCTCACAGTATGTCATAAAGATTATTGACGACTATGCCTATGGATTGTCCTTATTCAGTTCATACTTTCTTCACTGATTGTTTTTCTTTTATTATATTTTCTTTTTCACAACATTGTTATTTTCTCTTTCTCTTTTCTGTAGAAAATATCGATAGAATAGATTTCTCTTCTCGAACGGTAATATTGTCACATGTCGATTTAAATGTACATCAGTTCATCATGTTAATTTTCTATTCGTATTCTCTATACGTCTTTCTTTCTTTCTTTCTTTGTTGTTCTCGGAATTTAGCTAGATCTTCTATATTATAGATCTTTTTTTTTCTTTCTCTAGGAGCAAGTATATCGTTGCATACAGTTGTAGTTAATTATTTTCAGATTAATCTAGAATGGCTAATCAACGACTTACAACTGGTGCTCTTTTAGTAAATATAATATTTTCTTCATTAAAAAATTAGTTTGTTATTTGACATTTTCTTAGCGTTATATACGTGGTAATACTTCAGAAAAAGCAACTTTACAAGTTGTAGTATGTATTTTTATTATGATAATGATTATAACTTTCGAATGTTGATATGTTTAGGGTATTAAACCAATTGAAAGTAAAACAGATGATCCATCAGGTTCTGCTAAACGTTATCGTCTTATGTTATCTGATGGCAAGAGTACATTTTCGTGTAAGAAATTATTTGATTAGCTTTACGAGTAAAATTCATTGATTTATTTAGCATGTATGCTTGGTACTCAAATGAATAAATTAATTGAAACGGATTCATTAAAAGAAAATTCTATTATACGTGTTGATCGTGTAATGGTGAATTCAATTGATAAACAAAATGGACGGTAAATAATTTCATAATAAAATTAAAATAATTTAATAGGATTTCATAGAGTTATGCTTATGCTTTATGAAATTGAAATACTTCAAAGTGATTGTGAACGAATTGGAGATCCTGTTGCATTACCGTTGACTGATATTATTAATAGCGGTACTAATACAAATCGTCTAGGTAACATAATAAAATTTCAATTGGGAATAAAAAGATCCATTTTCATTGAAAATTTTTTCTAGAAACAACAAACAATAATCAAGCACAAGCACCCATTTCAGCTGCAGGTATTATTTTTTAAATAGTTTTCGAAATTGAAAACATTTCTTCTCTTCACCTGAGACGAAAATCCTTTGCTCTTGGTCACAAATGAAAAAACTACTATACCCTCTGACGAAGGAAGTATTCGAAGTGCTCAATTTCGTTTTGATTCATTTGATAGAGTATATTGAAGTAAGAAAAAGCCTAAAAGTGTTCGAGTCTATGGTGTACTGATGAAGAATTACGGCTGTTTTAGTGAGAGTCAAGTATTCCGAAGAAAAACAAACTGAAGAGTTTTGATCTGAAATTTTGCCTATAGATATATTTAACAGTCATTAGATAGTTCTGAACGTTTCAACAAAAACGAATATATTTTTCTCGAAATATTCAATTTTCAAAAAAAAACCGTCATTTATCGTAAGGGAATACAATAATCCAATTTTGTTGGAAATTAATTATCTCGAGAAAGACATGTTTGTTTTCGTTGAAACTTATAGAACTATCTAATGACTATTAAATCTATCTATAGACAAAATTTCAAATCAAAACTCTTCATCAATACGCCATGGACTCGAGTATTGGCATAACTAAGAGATCGTAGGTGATATGGCAGTGCCCTACAATCCTGAGGGACGGGTAATCCATGCAATACAATATTAGTGGTAGCAATTATTACGTTTTTTTTGTTCCAGGGGTAGGAAGACGAGGACCAGTGGTTAGGTGGCGTCAGATCTAACGGATCCTTGGTTATCTCACTAGTCTCGAATCCTTTTAGGTTTTTTCTTATTTCAATATACTCTATCGAATGAATCAAAATGGGGCTGTACAAATCGGATACTTCCCTCATGAGCTAGTATTTTTCATTATCAGTAATTCAAATTTTCCTTGTTGTGCCTAGTCTTTATTTGATGATTTCTTTTTCATAGCATCTTCAGCTACGAATGTCATTCGACAAGATTCTAAAGCATTACCAACATTAGATGATCGAAAAAAATCAAATGGTGATAATCGTCTTGGTTCGAAAGGAACAAATGGTATTGATAAAGAACGAATTATTAATATAGATACACTTAATCCATATATGACTAAGTTAGTTTCTTTTGTTTAATAATTTTTTCAATTTGAGTATTAAAATATAAAATTTTTCAGATGGACTATCAAAGCTCGTATTAGTAATAAAAGTCAAATTCGAACATATGAAAATGCACGTGGTCCTGGAAAATTATTCAGTTGTGATCTTGTTGATCAATCAGGTGAAATTCGTGCAACAGGATTTAATGCTGAATGTGATAAATTTTATTCCATGCTTGAAATTGGTGAAGTATGTTTTTCTGTGCAATCATAAATGTCTTAAGACAAAAACAAACAAAAACATTCATTCTTATTTAGGTTTATTATATTGCTAAAGCATCATTAAAAGCTGCTAATCGTCAATTTAATAATACAAATAATGATTATGAAATGACATTTAATCATGATACAATTATTGAAGCATGTGATGCTGGTGAAGGAGAAAATATTCCACAAGTACAATTTAATTTTATTTCAATTAATGATATAGCTAATCGATCAGCAAATAGTATTTGTGGTAAATAAATTCAATCGAATGAATATTATTTCTTATTAATATTTTTAGATGTTATTGGTGTTGTTAAAAGTACATCTGACATGCAAACGATTGTTAGTAAAGCATCACAAAAAGAATTTAATAAACGTGATTTACTTTTGGTTGATGAAAAAGCATCAATATCAGTAACATTATGGGGTCAACAAGTAGAAATGAAACTTGACAAAAAAATCGATTTTTGTTTTTCATTGATTGTTTTTTTTTTTTTAATAAGGCTGAAGAATTTGATGGTTCATCACATCCAGTTGTGGCTTTTAAAGGAATAAAAATTGGTGATTTTAATGGTATCTATTCGAATAATAATTCAATCAATAAATGAAATTAAGAATAATTTGATTTGGTTTTAGGTCGTACTCTATCATGTATTAATAGTACATTAATTCGTCAAGATCCACCTGAAACACAACGAACGGTTGAACTTCGTGTTTGGTTTGATAATGAAGGAAAATCTATTGATTTACCAGATTTATCGAAAGGAGCTGATACTGGAAATCGACAAAGTTTGTTTCTATTTTTATTGTTCTTTCTTTGAGCTTAATTACGAAACTATTTTATTATTATTATTTCAGCAGTCATAAAAACACTTTCTCAAATTGTTGTCGAAGGTCTTGGCCTTGGTGATAAACCTGATTATGTCTGTGTTAAAGGAATAACTACATTAATTAAAAAAGACACGGCTGTTTACATGGTAGAAAAAAAGAATTTTTTTTATCCAAGAATTCAAGTTTGTTTGATTATTTTCGTTATGATAGATGTGTCCAGAAGAAAAATGTGGTAAAAAAGTTGTAGATGAAAATAATGGAACATATCGATGTGAAAAATGTAATAAGACTTACAATAATTTTAAATGGGCTTATATGATTTCGGTATGTATTTGAAAACAAAATTAACCAAATTAACATAGAAAAGATTAGTTTTATCCTAATGAGATTTTTTAAGCAAGAAAGCATACATACAATATAGTGACATTTTGTTGTTAATCTTTTTATGTTCATTTTTTAAAGATTTGAACCAGTATGATGAGCTAAGAAAGTATCACACTTGCGAAAATAATGTTGTCCCTGATAAAGATTATAATCTTTATCTTTAGAACAATGTGATTGCCTTCTCGAAAGTATATGTTCACTTTCTTGAAATGATCAGGTGTCCTTTCGACAGGGATTCATCTATAGCCTATGTTTCTCTCTATAATTTTAGGCTGAAATTTCTGATGTTACTGGTGCCCAATGGATCACTATATTTCGAAATGAAGCTGAAACATTGCTTGGTGTTACTGCTGATGAATTTGGAAATCATAAACTTAATGTAAACATATATATCTATTTTTTTTATTCATTAATAAAAAACAAAATATATTTATTTTATTTTGATATTTAAGCAAAGTGAAAGTATTATGGAAGATATTATTCGAAAAGCAATGAATCGTGAATTAATATTTAAACTTCGTGCTAAAGCAGAACAATATAATGTAAATAAAATAATCTCATTTTTGAAATAATCAATAACATAATTTGTTTTTTTTTCTTAGGATGAACGAAAAATTCGATTTACATGTATGAGTGTTAATGATATGGATTGGTCATCACATGGAAGACGATTAATTAATGAAATCAATCAAATGGAACCTATACAAAATTGACTAGATATTATTCTTATAAATTACATAGTATTCTTTTTTTTTGTCAGATATATTTTCCTATATTGTACAGATAGTAAAACCTGTCTTGTCTTTTTTTCTTGTTCTGTATATTTCATGGTCTTGTGCTATTTTTCTTTCTCTTGCTCTTTTTTGATACATCAATGACGAAACATGACGACAATAAAAAAAAACTGAACATTACATGATACATTAAACAAAAAAAAGCAATTTTGTTTTTTTGTTAAAATGAAAAACAAACATACAACCACCGGATTAAATAGGACAAATTTATAACAAAAGCTTAAAGATATATATATATATATATATATATATATGTATATACTATTCATTCTGGATTGTAAGAATATTGATCTGACTTATCACTTTTGTTTTTTTGTTGTTTATGTTTTTTTGATGAACAACACATAAGACAACATATCCATGTATGACATTGACGATGATCATGACAATATTGATCAGAATATCGTTGATAATCACGTTCAAATACATCAATAGCACATTCAAATACTTCTCGAACATGAAAACGAAGTACTGATGAACATTCAATAAATGCATTACATTTTAAACGTTTAGCTAATTCTGAACCTTGTCGTGTTGTTATCATTGGTGGTGATATAAGATCAGTTTGAGAATTTATTGCATTGTTATTTGTACGTAAATCAATACAAAGTGAAACAAGAATGACAAGACTTGACGGATCATGACTACGAACATCGGGCATCCATTTTTTTTCGACATTATCAAATGAAGATGGTTGCATACATGAATAACATACTAAAAACACATCCGTATTGGCATACATCATTCGACGAAGTTGTTCCCATTCTTCTTGACCAGCTGTATCAAATAATTCAAGATTATATGATGTTTTTGAATTTCGACTCATAACACAAGCAAAATTATCAAAAACAGTTGGTTCATAAGCCGAGGGAAATTCATCTAGACAAATATTTTAATAAAAAGAAAAAAAAAGCTTGTTTTTTTTCCTGTTGTTTTTCTCTTACTCGTTGCAAAGACAGTTAACAAACACGTTTTTCCTATAAATAATGTGAAAAATGAGAAAAAAATTTTATTTAGAAGAAAAAAAACAATTTGAAATACCAATCGAACCATCGCCAACACAAAGTATTTTAATCGTTGCTTTGGGTGGTTTAACACGTGTTGATGAACGTCGAAAGCTCATCTGATAATTTGACCGCTGTCGTTCTTTATAAAAAGAAAAACGTAAGAAGAATGATTTATAACGCTAGACACTCGTCCCGAGTCTTACAAATACACTGAACAACAGTACTGCTCTTGTGCCGTGTGCTCCTTCTTTTCTTTTTCTTTCTTTTCTTCTACGTGCTTGGCGCTGTTGTTGAATGTAAAAAATGCGTGACGAGCACCGTATGTTACTGACACGAGAATCAAACATACACAATAAAGTTTGGGTCGATTCACGTCACTATAAAAGTAAAATGTAAAAGAAAGAGAATGAATTAAAAAAAAAAGAAGAAGAGAATTGCGATATGATGCCGTCCTACCATCATTCTATTCTATTAAAGAGAAAGAAAAAAGATGCATAGAACATCTCTTTTCTATACTATGTGCACCTTTTATAATCAAATTTGCATTCACAGAGAAAGAAGTTGAAATAAATTCAATTAAGCTTATTGATTTGATTCATCAAAATCTCAGTTATCATTTGTATAGTATCCAATTGTGTCATTTGAATGAAGTCTTGGATAGAAAAAACCTAGTGATTTCCTTTTTTGTCACGTTAACATTACAAAAGTTCAGTTGTATTGTGCATGTCACCATTCAATAAGATTTTAATCGAAGCTACGGTTATTTCTATTCATATACAACCAATCTATGCAATATCCCTCGTGTCGTCTATTGTCAAATTGAATTTCCTTGGCTCCATTGCTTACATCGACCCACACATATATATCTATATATCTATATATATATATATATGCCAACAACAAACATGCGCAGTTTTATATGTGCGTGATTTAGATAGAGTCAAAATAAGAACAATAGCAAATATAACTACTATAAAGCAACTGGCGTTTCTATCTCAATCTCAAATAGTGTCTATACTTATTAAATACGAGATGAATTGGGAAAAAAATAGAGAGATTAACGTGCTTTCTAAGTTTCCATCTTGAAAAACATTCCTTTGGATTTAACCATTGATTTAGTCAAGCTTAGAAATTTTCTTCTTTTTTTGTTCTAGATTCAAATATTCTCATGGCGCGATGGATTTTTTTCTGTTTTATTCTATTTACATTCCTTTTCAATAATATATCTACAATGATTTTAAATGATCCACAACATATATTTAAAAGACATATTGGTTCAGCACGTGAAAATTTTTTTCGTGCTAAACAATTTAAAACCAATAATGAAAATTTATTCCAACGACAACAACAAGCACTTCCATCACCTGATGTTTTACGTGAGCTTTGGACAGAATTGTTTAAGGAACAACGTAAAATTCACGAACCATTAGATACTAAAGCTTAAGAAAAAATCCATATATTTATCTTTTCATGGATATATATATATATATATTTATTTATTTATTGCATCTTTTAAATGAAAAAAAAACCGAAAAGTAAATAAAACAGAAAATACGCATTTATTTATTTTTTAATCCGATTGTATTTGTTCTTTGTATTGATGATTTATTAACATATGTTTGTCCAAGTTCAGAGATTTTATTTGAAAATGATTTCCAAATATCGAGAAGCTTTTTAATTAAAGAAAACACAAAAAAAATATATATATTTATAAAATAAATAAGAAAAAAAAAAGACTTACATCAGATGAAACTTTCGATTGAATATTTCCCAAACTACTTAATATATAAACGAATGCTTCTAAATTTGCATAGATTAATTGTGTTTCAGTTTGTATACATTTAAGTGCATGATTATTACGTTTTTCAATTGAATTAAGATTATCATTCTACAAAAAAAATAATTTACCCATTTAATTATAGATATTAAATATAATCTTTCTGAATATTTTATATCGATATTTAGTTTAAATTAGAAAAGATAAAGTAGATGAAATCTTGATAATCATATGTTCACTTCTTGCTGTGTAAGTAATATTGATTATGTCAAATAAAAACATATGTCGAGAACCTTCACAAAAAGATTGGATTACACTATCATAACTTCTCATCGATAAATAAAATTTCATATTTACAAAGTTTTCATTATTCTATGTCATATGATAAGCATCATAATTTCACATGATATTGTCAATTTTACAACGAATTCATTAGGTTTTTATCTTCGATAAGAATATGTCGTGGAAGTCTTGAAATAAAATATTTATTTCTTTTTTCGATTAACTACAGACTATTTGTTAAAGCCAGAAGCAGTTAGTTAGAATCAGACTTTTTCGATCTTTCCGAATATATATGTTCAGAATTATCTTCTAGAATAAGATTAAACAACTATCATCAAATTGTTTAGTTGTACAGAATATTATTTTGGTCAATTTTCTATTTCGATTGAAACCTATCACATTCAAAATAAGAAACCATTTTTAATAACTCAGTTACAAAGTATGCTATTTACTTTTGCATAAAAGATTTTTAAATTTTTTGTATTTATAAAAAAACAGATTTTTTTTAACCAATGCTGATTTCCATAGAGACTAGCTCTTTAGTGAAAATGTATAGATCAGATTTTGCTTATTGTAATATCTCATTTTATACAGAATACAGTGATCTATAATAATATTAAATTGAATCTGTTTGTAGTAGCTGAAAAATGAAGCAATATTATATGCTAAGACATTGGCACTATAGGCCACCTTAGTTGTGAATTGAATTAACACTATGAAGATAGATTTTCATTTCTTTTGTATATCAATTCTTCATTTTTCCAACAAACTTTTTTATCTGATATTAAATTTTTCATTTTAATGAGTGTCTATTGTTTTCAATCATATCGCTTGATATGATACGTAGAACTTGCGTTCTTATTTTTTGCATTTTTCTTCACTATGTCAATAAAACCTTTGTGTGAGTCAGAATTCTCGTCAAATTTATTTATCACTATGAAATATGTTTCATTTTTACATAATATATTCACCTTAATTCCAATATAATCTTACTTATTTGTTCACAAACATATTAAATAACAAAATTGAGGATGTAACGATCATTTAAAACCTTGCTTATTTAATCTATATATTCACTTTCTAAAGATTTGTTCATGTTTAAATATTTCTCATTTATATCTGCAAAGTTATGACATATACCTATTTTCTATTTGTGTTATATTAACTATCGATAAGTATACATATCGATGAAATAAACCAAAATATGTTTATTTCTTGTTATACCGATACAAAAAAAGTTATTTACTTTTGTTGATACTTCATTTGTTGTTAATGAACGTTTGTTTTGATTTGTTGCTTTTTGAATAGCTCGTTGTTCAATTTGTAAAGCTTCTTCGAATCGTTTACATAAATCCTTTTGAAACAAAAGAAAAAGAAACAGACAATCAAATTTAATGAAAGAGAATTTGTTTGCTTTTTTTCTTTTACTTTATATCCTTGAAGTAATTCAATTAACATATCAAGATGATCATTAATAACTTCATCTGCATATCTACATTCTTCATTAATACGTTCTGCAACAGCATTTATTTCAAAAGGTAATGTAGCAAGACCACCTTGTATTGTTGGCCAATAATCATTAAGACCAGTAGCCCATCGTTCGATTCGTGTTGAGTCTGAACTTATTAATCTATATAAAACAAATTGATTTAATTGATTTAAAATTCTAACAGAAAAAAAACAATCTACTGTAAAGATTTTTCAATTGCTAAATATTCATCAGCAGTTTTAAAATTTCGTTCATTTATATTTTTTAAATAAGTACGAATTTGAGAAAATTGTTGATAAAGAAATGATATATGTGTTTCACTTATACGAAACATTCGAATACCAGTTGAATCTTCTTCGTGTCTCTAGAGAAAAATTTTACAATTAAAAAAAAAAAGAAGTTTGAAATACAACATCATTTTGTACTTCGATTCTATCGATAGAACTGGATGATGTTGGTGGTTCACAACTGAATTCATCAAGTGTATTTTTAAACGTTGCTTTCATATTATCACCACATGACTAAATATATATTTCAAAATAAACAAAATGAAATTCTCTGTTTCATATATAATACGAACTGTTCCTTGAAAAGTTAAAAAAAATTTAATAATTTCTATTTCACAAATAGTTGGATGTCGACATAAAATTTGAAGATAACGTTTTAATGATCGACGACGTTCTTCAATAAATTCTTTGTCAACTAAAACAAAAAACTATCGATTTAATTTATTGAATTATCTTTTACTAAATCATAGCAAATGAGCAAGATTATGTAAATAATCAATTTTTCATAGAGCAACTTAATTAAAAGAAAAAGAAAAATTAGAGACCATTAACAGTCTTTTTTGGTGGAAGTTGTGGTATTATTCGAAAGGGATATTTTAAAGATAATAGTTCATGCAAAGCGACAAAGTCATTATATCGACGTGAAACCTTGTTCTTGTAATGCTGATAGAGAAAGAAAAGAATGATAAGATATATAACAATATTACCAACAACAATAATAACTACAAAACATTTACCATGCTTGTTACTTCATATTCAAAATGTCGTATAATAACACCTAGAAATAAAGATAGATACAATTTTATTTTGTTTGAATCATTGTTTTTTTTACCTTTTTTCTCAGGTGCAACATTAACTTGAATAGTATCTAATGAACAAAGATCACCATAACGAAAGCAAAGTGTAGTTTTTCCTTGATCACTACGTAGTATACGAATTAAACGATCTTCTAACTCATTCAAAGCGTCTAGTGTTGGAATCGGTAATTCTGAAAGAAGAAATATCGTCATGTTTATTGTTGATTCATTTATATATTTTCTATAATACCTCGGTTTACATAATTATCAAGTAACTTTTCATCGACATTTTTTCCTTGTTGAACCAGTGCCATTAATGCCAAACATTTATAAAAATCATTACGTGAAGAAATTGAATTTGTCTTTATGACAGCAGTCCAAATCTAAATAAAGAAAAAATAATAAAATTTTCTTCTATCTTTTTCTTTTTGAAATTCAAACCTGATTTAATATTGTTTGTGTCAACGTATTTGATTCAAATAAAGGTACAAATACAGCAAGTGTTAATTTATCAATACCATGTAAATTAATCATTTCAAATAAATTACGATAAATTGGTGGAATGGAACCTATATTTAAGAATGAATAGTTCTTAAAACTTGAATTATAATTCATTTTTGATTATTACCTGTACTCAAATCTACTGGCATGATCGTAAACAAAATAATACGTTCTACTTGCACTGGATGTAAAGAAAAATAATATGAAGAACTTATCTAAAAAGATAAAACCATCTCAATTAAAGCAAACATCTCGATAGAGATCGCTCAATTACGGTTATAATATTCAATAAATAATTAAAAAATCGAATAAATTTTCAATATTTATTTCATAAACTAAAACTTTAGTTTTGAAATATAAAATTTTTTTTTGAATAAAATTATAGTAAATACAAAAAATAAATATAATTCAATAATGGCTAAATTTCGATGTTGTATTTTTTTTTCTATTGCGTGGTTTCTGTGTTTATTCATTTCTATTATGAGACATGATTTTATAATACACGTAATTGAAATCTAATCTTTGGGCGGTTATATTCATAGAATTTATTTATTTTTATAGCTTTTTCTTTTGCATGGTCATTTCTATTTGCTCCAATCAAGCAAATGTATTTTGAAAGAAATAAAAAAAAAAAAGCTTACGGAAAACTAGAATATATATTGTTTTTTTGATAGATAAGAAATGCGTTTGCCATTGATAAATATTTTTATTGGTATGAAAATATCTCATAATAAATGAGTGTTATAAATAATGATACATTTGGATACAAAAACATTCTGAATCATTATTTTAATCAGGATTTGAAAATGATGTTAGGTAATATTATCATGTAATTTAGAAACTAATTCTCACAAGTTGATTGATCTAATGATTTTTCAGAGTAAGATAATATGTGCATGTTTTAATCGACTTGTTTTAACACAGCACAATATTTTTCTTTCCTCTATTTTCACAAACTGAAAACGTAGTTTAATCGATATCTAATATTTATTCATTAAGAAGATAAATATAACTGCAAGTTGAAAGTTAAACTATAGAATATTCAACTATAAAGTTTTATTTAAAATAAAATGCAATTTTGATACAATCAAGAAAATAAGAAAAAAAATGTCACATATAAACTAGATTAGTTTTGTTTTTGTCAAAAAACTAAAGTGAACTTTATTTGATAGAATACTTTCAATGTTAGACGAACAAATTTTTATTGTCTATTGTATTGAAAAACCAAATTTTGTATAGAATTAAAATTTGAGTAAAACTCAATTTAAATTATTTCGTTCGATAGTTTATTTTATGCAAATAAACTACGCATCATAAATATGTTTTTCTTTTCTATATAGAATTACCTGATTGAAACTTTATTTACAATAAACAAACGCTTTAGTCATATCTTTCTGCGCAAAAAATTACAATATAACAAGTAGAACTATAAGAAGCTTCGAGCTAATACGCGATATGAAATAATCTATACTAATAATATATTTTACAAGAAACACGCATCCATCATAATTAAAAAAAATACAGATTCTATACATATAACATTTTTATTTTGAGAAAAAAAAGATATTAAAATTTTCTTTATAGTTAAATCCATTATGTAGTTCTTTAATTATGTCAAAAAAAAAATTAAACTTAACCTTCTGCCATTATAAAAAAATATTTTTACCACCGATTATTCCAATGAAAAATATCACTATTTATTATCAAAAACACATCTTTAGAATTAAATATTGAATCTATATTTATTTACTTTCTTATCAGTTTCAACTAGATATCGAATAACATATTTAGTTCTAGAGAATATAAATGATTACAAAACTCAAATAAGCCAAGATTGATTTAACAAGTATTGCTTTTATTATTATGATAAAATCGATGATAAATATCCAATATGATTTAAAAAGAAAGAAACCAATCAAATGTGACGATAAATTTACTTTAGACAAGAAAAATGCCTAAAAAAAATGAGGAAATCATTATCATACATTTTTGTATGAGTAAATTCGATATAGTTTTTAGTCATAGTTGATCTCTTACGCAACATAATACTTAAAGCTCAAAAAAATACATTTTCCCAATAATATAAGTAAAATTAGTTGACAAAAACACAGCTTTTTTTTGTATTAAATATTAAAATCAAGTAATTTTCTTCATTAAAAATTGTAAATTCCATGTCTTTTATTTTTCGAAAAATAAGAAACTTTAACAAATATCATAAATCGTTTTTTCCAATGGAAAAAAAATGTCACGAGCAAAAAAGGAAGGATGGTGCATTTTTTTTTCTTTTCTGTTCTTCTCGGACAAAATAAAATCTACAAGAACGTACTAGAATATCAATGTTTATGTCAACATGTCATTACTTAGTAATTTTCAAAAAAAAAAATATTTTTAGATGAAAATAATATAAATTTGTTCTATATAGAATTATATGAAAAAGAAGAAAATCAATTTGTTTATCATATACAATGATAATATTTTAACAACTTTATTAATCTATAGAATATTTCTTTTTTTAAATCTATCTTTTTCCTCATTCTAATTATCATAGATTTAAAATTAATTTATGAAACATTTATCATGAGTGTTAAATTTTAAATGAGCATAGAAAAAATAATAATAACTTCTTATAATTTGTAAAGGACATGACGTTGGACTTTTTTTTTGTATGTGCTGTCGTCATCATGTAATAGAAGAAGTAGAATACAAAAAAAAAAGAACGAGCGAGCGAACGCGGGCAACCGAACGCAGACTATATACGTCGAGCAACAGAACGTCAACAACACATACGCAGACACACAACACACATAGACAAACACACCATCATCACCATTACTATTAATACTCACAATCATTTTCATTTTGACAAAATTTTTTTATATATAACGAATGACAAAATTGGAAATTTTATGATTTTGTATCACTTAGTTAATTAAAGATCTATTAAATAAAATAAAAAGATCATATTCATGAGGACAGTTCATGCATATACACCTGCACAGCAACTGCAGCAAGAACAACAACAACAACAACAACAACATCAACAACAAACATCATCATCATCATCGACAAGTCAACCCAATTTACATCAACATTCATCTACGAGTGGTAAGATTAATGAAATACGCCGTTTATTTATTTATTTTTCTATCTTTCATTAAAAAAGAACCAGCAAAAGTAATAAATAAAATTGAAACTTTTTTTCTTTTCTTTTTCTTTTCTTTCCTTTTCGTTGAATATAAATATAGAAAAATGTTTTCTTTTTCTTTTTAATAATCAGCTGACTATGAGTATATTTATTATTGATAGGATATCCAAGTGTACGTCATAGTCTTTTTCGTATGCATAGTCAATTAAGATCAGCACCTAATGGAAGAGAATCTACTCAAGGTCCTATTGATTTAAGTCTCTATCGTGTTCCACGACAAACACCTAAAATGGCAGCACGTTCGACAAGCACAACAACTACTGCACTTCGTACTATTCCTACCATTACGCCATTGGCTACACCATCTACCCATACTATTTATAGCAATGCTGTTCCTTCTTCTTTTACATCATCAAAAACAGCGACATCCATTAATAATCAAGAACAAAATACAAAAAGTAAGTTGTGCAAATAGTTGGAAATTCTCACTTAGTTTGAGAAAAAAATCTAACTTTTATATTTTCGATAACTAATATACATTGATTTTAATTTTTCAGTGCAAAATTCATTTTCGACTAGTGCAACATCAAAATATTCTTATTCTCATCCTGTTTCTGCTTCACCAAAATTAGCTTATTCATTTTCGAATATTGAAGAAAATCTTCAATGTCCATTATGTATTGATCGTTTACGTGATCCTCGTGCATTACCATGTCAACATGTATTTTGTTGTTCATGTCTTAAATCAATTCCTTCATCTAATATACCATATCCAACTATAGTTTGTCCATTATGTCGTCGTACATTTCCATATAATGGTGCTGATCAATTTCCTATATCATATATACATCGTCAATTACTTGAATTAGTTCCAAAAAATTATGATATTAATGGTAAATGTACAAGATGTCAAGAAAAAAGTTCATTAATATTATGTTCATGTTGTGATTTTCTTTTATGTCAAAAATGTTTTATGAATGATCGAGAAAAAATTCTTGATAATATTCAACATATTGTTCAAACATGTTATCATCGTCTTAATCGTATACATACAACACGTGATCAATTAAATGATTTAAATGATATAAATCGTAAAAAAATTCAGCAAATTGAAATTATATTTTCAAATTTTGAAAGAAAATTATATGAACATAAACAATCAATAATTAATTCATTAAATAAATATAATGAACAAATAACAAATCATTTTTGGTCAAAATTAAATATACCAATTCAAAATACAACTGAACCATTTATTGATCTATTAAAACAAGCTGAATTATTTATACAAAAATCTCATACTATAAAATTTGATGATATTGTATCATTATTTCGTCATTTAAATTCAATTAATGAACAACTTGAATATGCTAATTCATTAATTGATACATATGATGTACAAAATTTATTAAAACAAACAATACAAATACATAATAATAATAATAATAGTTTAGATGAACAAACATGTATACATTTAAATCAATTAGATAGTACAGAAAAAATTCTTCCATTAATGCCATCAACAATTTTATCTCGATCAACAAAACGTTTACGTAAAACTGAACCTAAAAGACATATTGAACAAAATAATGACGAAGATGATTATGATAATGATAATGATGGTAATGATAATTTACCAATATTAAAACAAATGAAAGTTGAATATCATAATGATATTAATTTTGATCCTGTATCATCACCAACAAATTCTGTACTTTGTTTAAATTTTCCAAATAATGAACATCAACAAAATGAACTCGATAACGATGACGATATTATTTATATTGAAACAATTCAAGCAAAATCACCAGCAACAATCAGTTTTGAAGAACTATTTCAAATGATTGGTACAGATGAATAAAATTTATCTTATTTTGGACAGAATACTTCTTACAAAAATTTCATATTTATCTATCTGTCTAGTCTAGTGTACCAAGAAAAAAATTATCTGTTTTTCATAACATACTCATATATATATATATATATTGATCTATGTGAATTTCA